TTGGAGGAGAGACGAAACGTTTCATTAGAGAAGAACCCGTCCAGAAGTCCTATACAATTTTTTTCTTTTTAAAATAACTAGTTGATTTTTCGTTATTTGATTTTTGATTGGCAAATTAAATTAGAAAGAATGAATGATACACAGATTAACCTGCTGCAGCAGCAAATTCCAGTTTTTCTTCACCATAGACCTGCTGGAGAAGGCTTCATGTGTTAAAAGCACCAGAAGCTCCAGAAAATAGTTTTAATCATTAGTGATACAAGAACTATCAGCTGTCATCTGGTAACAAATGTAAAACTAGTTGTCCAACATTTTTTTTATTGCTCTGCCTGGTTAGCTAGTTATGAAGTACATAAAGTAGTTTCCATACATGTCAACCTCTTCGGACGTTTACCTGTATAAAGAGCCTCAAAAAKCCGTAAATTTTGCAAAAAATCCACACGGGACGGGTGGGGGTGTTGTCCCTCGGCTGCGGATATGACAGCGCCTGTTGCGAAGCAGGAGGAAAGGGGAGCAGAAAAAAAGTTCAAAACTTATTTCTTGCGGCAGAACAGGTTGGAAGATGGCTGTATGATGTTATTACAGGCTCTGACATGTTAGATAAATTTGAAAACGATGTTTTGAAAAAATCCATAAGACTTGAAAAAAAAAATCCTTGAGATTGCTCTATACGTCCGCATACCTGCAAAATGACGTAAAATCCTTATAACTTATGGACAATCCGTACAAGATGACATGTATGTGTTTCATCTGATCACTCATCCAACCATTTAATGTGGAGGAAGATTTTTTTTAAAGAAATTAGCTATCAAAAAATACAGTCTGCAGTTAGCTAAAGAAATACTAAAGTAGTTAGCTGGCATTTTTTTTATTCATTTACAGGCAGCCGCTTGTTTTTGGAGAGTAAAATAAAAATGTTTCTGTTTTATATATTGTAATGAGTGGGGGATTGAGTTTCACTGAGCCAAACACCAAAGCAGTTTTAACAAGTTTATTGAAATAGTGAATGCTGGTTCTGGAGTTACAGGACACGGGAATCAGGAGTTCTGAACACAGGAGAATAAGGTTAGTGGCTGGACTTAACAATGGAACAAAACGTGAGGAGAGGAGAGCCACTAACCTTTTACTGGAGCGTGTGGAACAGACCGAACTCCTGAGTGATACAGAGAGCCTTGGATGATGGTTCGCCGTACTTCCGTGTTTGGCGGCGCGACGTCGGGGATAATCCTTAATACGAGCGGTGGTCATTAACGGGAAGGCTGAAGACAAAAACAAGTTAGGAGGTAAGGACTGAGGCGTGGTCGGGGTACACGGACGTGGGTCGGATCCAGGAGGTCAGAGGCAGCGACGGTGTCCGAGGAGGATGAGGCGAAAGGCGAAGATCCAGGAGTCAGAGCGTGGGTCAGAACCAGGAAGTCAGAGGCAGCGACGGTATCAGACGGGGGCCAGGCGAAAGGCTTGGGTCCGAGGAACAGAAGGAGGGTCGTGACGAGGCAAACAAGACGTGACATGGAAACGCTGGATAATTACTAGGGGTGAACCGTTCATAAATCTGGCACTGATGCTGTGGAGGAGTGGAGCTTAAATACTGGTGACTGCAGGTGAGTGGAATGAGCTTGATTGTGTTTTCTGTGACGGGAGGGGTGAAGCAATGAGTGAAAAAACTTGGCTGTGAGAAACTATGACGTGAAGTGAGAGCAGGGCAGACGTGATTCATGACATATACAGTATGTTGATATTAATGCCATATGTACTTTCCAGATTTACTTTGTACACTGTTACCCCTAATTTACACTACTTGCGTTCTGTCTCCACTCCGTTGCACTGCGCAGGTCACAGCTGTGCGTTTCAAGTTCAGTTTACATTACCTCCGCTCCGGTCCGACAGACGTGCAGGAAGGAGAATGCGCTATAAATGCAGTGATATGTGTGGAAGTATCAGCAAAAAATAATTGTGTGAAAGACAAACTCCAAACACAGCTGAAAACAACAGTATAAAGGCTTTTGTATCTATGTTGAAACTGTCTTGCTGTCGGCTTTCTGAAACTTCTGATTTCAAAATAAAATCCATGTGTATCGTGTGTGTACACATATGCTTCATGCTATTTGTTTCCATCTGCTTCCCAAACAGAACGATACATTCTGACAGCAGTTGTATAAAAATATATCCGTATATTGATTAATATAGCTGCAATTTTGACATTGTTCTGACAAATTATCCAGCCTAATAGTGTCTTATTTTGAAAATACGGATGTTGTGCTCATTTCTTTTCCTGTTGGTGCGACGTAATCTTAAAAAAATTGACTCCGGCGCAGCTCCGGCATCCATCAAAATTATGATCTCTTCTAATTTTGACGGATCGCCATTTGCTCACCGCCGCCCTGTGCCGCCGTTTGCAGCCAGTGTAAACACTCTCATTGGTTATAATGGGTGCATATTTGCTGCGGAGGTCGGAGCGGAGCGGAGACAGAATGCAAGTAGTGTAAATTCGGGGTTAAAGATCTTATTGTTCCATACTTTCCTAACAGAGCACTTTGCTATAAGACTGCAGGTTTACTTGTGGTTCATCGAGTTTCTAACAGTAGCATGGGAGGCAGAGCTTTCAGTTATCAAGCTTCTCTCTTACAGAATCAACTTCCAGTTTCTGTCCGTGAAGCTGACCCTCTGTCTACTTTTAAGATTAGACTGAAGACTTTCCTTTTTGATCAATCACATAGTCAGGCTTAGGT